TATATAATTTTGTATATAATTTTAATTATATAAAAAAAAATGAAATGACTAAACATGCGGATAAGCATAATTATTTATCATATTCACATATGTAATGAAAGTTGGTATTATTAATTAAGATATATTACAAATACTTATAACAACGGAATTGTATCTGTAGTTTCGATATATGTTTTACGACTTTGATAAGTAGAAGGCTTAAAGTTATTCGAAAAAGAATTTTTTGGATAAACTAAATAGGTTTAGTTCTTTGATTTCAGCAAAAATGGTAGCTGTATCGGAAAAAGGGTACTTCCATTGGATCGATTGGCTGGTGTTTGCACTTACGCTTCTCGTGTCTACTATAGCCGGCTTATTGCACTTCAGAAGGGCGCAAAAGTCGAACACACAAGACTACCTGCTCGGAGGAAGAAGCTTAGGACTCTTTCAAAAAAAAAAAAAAACGTCAATTATGCTTATGTAAAGAGACACAAATTGCAGTGAAAAATCCGAAAAAAGGAAGAATAAACAATGTTTCATATAGCTCTTACCGATGGTTGATTAATTTATCGATTACATCGTGTTGCATTGTTATATTTTAAATATTTTTGTACTTAGTTACATGTCTTGAATCGAATATCTGGACGGACTTATATGTGATTAAACGTACTAATTATAAATAATGACTATTTATAATGGTACAAATATACGTGTATCGTCCGTCGACTGTCTCGTCCATAAATTATAACAGTCGGTAACGATCATTATCTGCTGTTGATGCATTTCATTATTCTGTCCACATACATATAATTTTCTATACATACGTATTATAAAGAGAATTGAACTCATTGATCGAAACCGAGTTGAAAATTCCGGAGTTGCGATGTGCTTAATATAAATTTTGGGCGATAATTCTCGTTCTTTCTCGCGCACTTTCTGGCTATTGTATTCATCGAATTCCAGACATATTGACATTGATAGACACATGTCAATCTGGCTTTACACATATTTGATAACACGTGAAAAATAAGTCGTTTGAACAAATACGTCTGGCCTTGTCAAGATATTCAAATCCTCAAGACAACACTACACTCGTAGAAAAAATATTTAAAAAAATATCACAATTAAATAACGTAATTTGAACATTTGTTGACAAGATGCAAGTACAGTTCTCGAAAGATTTCTGATGCATCATGTGCAATCGAATGTGCACCGAGCCGTTTTTCGAATATTAGTTAATTAGCGACGACGTGTAAATCCTGTTAATTGTAAGCGTTTCGGCAAGCGATCCCGATGCGGTCCCGTGATCGGCTTACGTGAACAGACTACTTTTCGCTTGTTAGCGTTCGCGACTCAGCAATTGACCCTTGCGATTGATCACAAAATAACAGAACTTTGAACTGCAGAATTCCATGTCACTTCCTAGAAACAGCGATGACCGTCAAATCTTATCGTGCACGTTAATGTTTCACCGTAATGATTTTATTGCGCCTTGATTAATCCCGTGACAATATCCAAAATGCCATAAAATATGAAAAAAAAATGTGTCTGATTAGATTTGTTTATCTCCTTTTGATTAAATCGTTATCTCTTTATAATATCACTTTGTGACTCGTTAGTATGAGATGAGATTTCAAGGCATTGTGAACTGTATAACAGAGATCGCTCTGTCACGATTGTCATTCAGCGTTAACGAGACCAAATTACTAGCACGTACGAAGAAGTCATAGGTCAGTGGTTTCAAACAGGGAAGCGCTAACGGGACTTAAACAATGCAGCCGCGATATCCTTTGCGACCAATTTATACTGTCCGCAATGTGACGCGAGCTATAATAAAATCCTTGCTACATTTTTATTGTCACATTGTTTTGCGTAATGTTTGATCGTTGCATCATTACCGGACGGACAAAGTGCGTTATATGATATAACAAAAACTAAATAAAATAGGCCTGGCGACATGCCAATCAATAGTCCTTGTCGAAGGACTAGCGGATTAAAAATATCAATGCGTCGAGATATGATTCATCATTTATACGCTGATCCAAAGGAGATCGTTGGTTAGAGACAGAGTTTTTTTTTTTACTAGTATACATTGAAATTAAACAGAAATAATCGACATTGTGTTGCGGAAACCTCTGTTATTACAAGCAGTCGCGGCCGACTGCTGATTAAATTTCATGCATATTGCCGATTGTGTATTAGTCATTGTGTAATGTGACAATTACGATCGTTATATTAGTAATTAAAAATTGCCTGTAGTACAAAAGATAATTTATCTTGCTACATGCCAATATAATGATGCTTTTATAATGAATAAAATTAATAGAGCTATTTCTTTTTTGTATCAATATGATGACTATACAAAAAATTGAAAAATTGATATATAAATTTTTATATAATTTTCACTATTATGAAAGATTTAAAATGATTAAAAAAGAGGAAATCAAAAGAACGCGAATGACTTGAAACGTCCCGAAATGTTTGGATCGAAAAAAAAAAAATTAATAATTGATGAATTAATGGCGGAAAATTGAAGATCAGCTGAAGTTTCTGTGTTTTTATTCAAAGAGAAAAAGTCTTTTGCAACATTCGCACACTGACGTATATTTATATACTAATATATATATTATAGAGCGATTAATGTTTTAGATAAAAATTGACATAATTCGTTTACATTGTTTATCGGGTTCGAGAATCGGGCTTGATTGATTAATCATGCAGGATATTTAATCGATTCCGATCGTAACTGTAGCTTCATATCAGGCGTGACGATCTTGGGTACTCCAGCAGAGATTTACAACTTCGGCACGCAATACTGGATCACGATCATCTCGATTTTCTTTTCCGGTGTCGTGGTCGCCACCGTGTATCTTCCTGTCTTTACCACCTTACAACTTAATTCCGTTTACGAGGTTCGTTCCGTTTAACCCGTTTATTTACTCAATTTTTTTTTAAAGCTCGATTCTGTCAGTATACATTGACTATTCTGCCAATTTTCATAGTGAATACTCTTCTTTTAGTACTTGGAAATCCGATTCGATCGGAGCGTGCGGATCCTTATTTCTTTGATTTTCGTTTTTGATGCGGTAAGTCTGAGATTTTATGAGATCAACATTATATGAAGGCTTATTCATAATGCTTTCGTAATTGTTTTAAAAAGTCGAATAAAGGGTCAATCGATTGCAGGTTCTTTATCAATCGATTGTAATCTACGTCCCCGCGCTGGCATTAAATCAAGGTATCTTATTGGCGTAATATTTTTACGTTAAAAATTAATTAATTTTTATTAAAATTCTTATTATTTATTTTAGTCAGCGGTATCAATATATACTTGGTCGGATCCATTGTATGCATGGTCTGTGTTTTTTATACCGTCTTGGTAAGTTACGATTTCATGTCGCGTGTGATTTTCATTTTAATATTCGGTTTCGATGTTGCATAATTAACGCATTATAATTCTCTCGCCTGCCTCGTATTCAAAAAGAGAAAAAAAAAAAAAAAAGATCGACGGGTCAAGATTGCATAAATAAATCGCACGTTGTAATGTCGTATCGAAGATTGTACTTGAACGTTAATAAGAACGGTGTGTACGGGAGTGATGAAAGCAATCGTGGTACGGTGGGACGGAAGCTAAGCTAATTTTCCGGGGGGAGGCCCGTTCACCGAATTCCCGCGGGATGGCTGGAGTTCCTCGGACACGGTCTACCGTAGGAAACAATTTTCAGTGGACAATGCCGCAGTGAAGAATCTCACGCGAGAGCCTTAGTACTGGAAATGTTTATGGACGGAAACTGAAAGCCCGACAATGGCACGGGGAAACAATGGTGCGGAGAACGTCGAGCGGATGTTATCGTAGCAGCGGATCACAAAGCCGGCGCTGAAGTGATTAATCGCGGGATCGCGCGCCTGTAATTATCCGAGCAATTTGTTGAATCTCGTATTAATGAGAATTTATCGTGGTTGAGTGGCTCTTTACAAATTTGTTTATTATACGCCCCGTGCACATGCGCGAGCGCGTGCAGACTGTTGTATAATTGCGAGCGTTTGAAAAGCATTCGTCATTATTGTATTCTCCAGAAATATACAATATAACGTCGCTACGCGGGAAACTCGCTTTTCATTTAGAGATAAAGAAATTGCATAACCGTATATGTGATTCGCAATTTCTTAATTATAGTACTTGTCGTCGCAAGACAAGGCAAATCGATATAACGTGTAGCGAATATATCGGGCGATACGCTTAGATCGGCAGAATTTTTCCAATTTTAAATTTGAATTTCCCTTCCTCTATAAATAACATTTCTTGTTTTATATTTGCTGTCGTTCTATGATTTTTATTAGGGTGGTATTCGAGCTGTGGTTTGGACAGACGCGTTGCAAGTCGGGGTGATGATAGCGGCGGCTATCTCAGTTACCGCTCTAGGCACCTATCAAATGGGAGGAATGTCTGAGATTTGGAACAAAGCCGTCAAAGCCGGTCGTATCGAATTTTTAAAGTAAGACTACAAAAAGCGTAACTGGATTGTGTTGTGTGGGTGTTGCGTAAAATTTCTTTTACATTACTCTGTATTATAGCTTCGATCCGTCACCTTACACGAGGCATACCGTTTGGACGGTGCTGATTGGTTCTTGGTTATACTGCACCGCGTACGTTGCCGTCAATCAAACTATGGTGCAACGATATAAATCGTTAGAGAGTACGAAGAAATCGCAATTGTGAGTTATGCTTTAAATAACGAAATATATAAAACAAATCTTTGCATATTGCGTTCTCGTCCTTCTGTCAATTTGAATGTAGTCAATTTATTATCGCATGTTGCGATTGCAGATCCATCGCGATATTCACCATCAGCGTAATGGTGTTTATTTCAATATGCTGTTGGTGCGGATTAGTCCTCCTTGCCTGGTGGTTACCACCGAAATGCGATCCAAGAGTTTCTGGCTTAATTACGGCCGACGATCAATTGCTGCCGGCTTATGTCATGGAGATTGCAGGTGATTTGCATGGAATACCTGGCCTCTTCATTTCCGGAATTTTTGGCGCAGCACTGAGGTATCGGCGATCGAATTAATATAATTATATAATACAATGATAAGATATAACATTCATTGATTTGCCTTAAATCGTAGAATAAATCAGCAAATTCGAATAACCACAAGAAACAAATTCGTCTTAAAAAAATCGTAATTAATATACGATGGAATTATTTAGCAATTATTGATGTTAATATTTTAATTATTAATCCGAGAATTTAATTATTAATCGAGAAAGAAATATTAAAATTGCCTTTTTTTGCCGCAGTTCGTTATCGGTAGGCTTCAACTCGACGTCCGTTGTGATTCTAGAAGACTTCATTATGGGTTGTTTTAAAATGAAACTGAGCGATCGATGTTCCATTATTTTCGTGAAAATCCTTGTCATCTTCTTCGGTCTGCTGGCATTGAGCTTCCTTTTCTTGATCGAGAAGCTGGGGGGAGTTTTATCCGTGAGTGTCTAGATTTTATTGTTGATATCCTATAATCTATTTTAAAACGTCATCGTAATTTTTAATCATAATTTAGGTGACAAACAGTTTGGCCGCCATCGCTGCCGGGACTTCCTTTGGCGTTTTCACTCTGGGAATTTTATTTCCCTGGGCAAATTCCAAGGTACGAGTAATGAGATCTGATTAATTCTCGGATACATTTTCTTTTTTTTACAAGTTTTATCGCGTTTTGTATAGGGTGCCTTTATTGGTGCCATTGCAGGATTCATGATGTCTGGATGGGTTAGTTTCGGAGCAAACGCAGCTATCGGTTCTGGTCTCGTGGTGCCAAAGAAACTTCCAGTTTCGTCTTGCACCGAAGATATCAACTATGTCTTTGTAAATCAATTCGAACAATCAAGGTGAGTCACTCTTATGTCGAATATATTCATGATCTATTTCAATTTATTTGCCATTATGCAAGGAAGGTGTAAAAAAAATTCGGTTGTATCTTTATCCCGATTAACATTCTTGTTTTCTCTGTCTCGTATGATTTCTATCGACTCATCGATTCGCGCATTCAGCGAAGACAACGTGTTTCCATTATATCGGTTGTCTTACCATTGGGTTGCCCCTATTGGCACGTTGGTAGTACTTGTGATAGGCGGGTTAGTCACCTGGATAACAGGTGCAAGGGATCCCTCAACGATCGACAAGAATCTGCTCTCTCCGGTGATTCATAGGTATAATTAATTTGTCCGGCAATTTTTTGTTACAACCGAAAGAAATATAATTTTTGATTTACAGATGGTTACCCCGACAGAAATATCAAAATGAGATAAATGAATTGTGTATGTCAGTACCAACAGATCCGCAAATATCAGCAAATTTATTATCGGTCATTCGACAAAAATCCCATCCTAATATTTTCCCGCAAAAAGAAGAGACGTTTACGAATAAATCATCATGATCAATCGATAAATATATCGATACTAAACTAGGGCAATCGCGCAAATTTTTAAATTTTTCCTATAGTTATATATTTTGATAATGGCCGTTTCCTATAGTTATATATTTTGATAATGGCCGTTTTTATGCTTTATCGCATTTATATAAAAATAAGTAGGAAATGTACATGTATATAAATATGTATAAGAATGTATAAAATAAATCTCCGATCCCGTCAGAATTAAAAGCTTTAATTTTGAATAATTTAAAATTAATATTAATATAAATTTAATGTAAAATAGTTTTCTAACTTTTTTATATTAAATTATAGAAGGAGAAAATATATAAAATATGAACATATTTTTTATATATCAGTATATATGTATTGCAATAGATAACACAATTTATTATATGTATGTATATTTTTTAGAAAGAGAAATATTTTATATAGAAAGAAAAAAATAGAAACAATAAAATCTTCATGATTATAGTTATTCATTACTTTACCTCGATTTGTCGGTAAGTTTCATTAAAGTATAATCCGCGAAAAGTAATAATTTTTTAAGATTTTGCCGACACACAACAAATTATATATTGGAAATGATACAAAAACCCATCTATGAAATGCTTAAAAGAAATAACCATACGAGAAAAGTGCCTGAGGGAGGGGAGGGAGATAAAGTCTCTCGTATTTGTTGTATTCAAGACACGAATTCGCTGAAAAGCCGCCGCTAAATGATGCATTTATTTAATATTCCGATGAATCGCGTCGTTCTCGTACGAAAGCCAGAAATTTTTCACACGAAGCCCACGGAGCGTGATCGTGACGGGCAGCACGTCCTAAAGAAAATTGCGATTCGCAAGTTGCGTACAGGCTTTATTAAGCGCGTTTCATGCACCATTTGCATTCGTCTGGGCGGCTGATAGATTCGGAATTTCCATATACGTTCTACGTGGCTTATATTATATATATACATATATATATATATATATATATATATATATATATATATATAAAAATTTTAATAATTGTAACGCTGTACTTTATAGGGTGAACCTTTTCAAAAAATGAAGGATAGATTGCTAAAGAAATTAGGAGTACAGGAAAAAGAATTCGAAAAGGTAGGCATCCTTAGCTAATCTTTTTTGATCTCTTATGAGAATTCATAAAAAAACTTTGAAGTTTAAGTTCGCGGTGGTGTCAATGGGCAAGCCACAGTTCATTATCGACTCGCCGGACTGTTGTATCAAAGTCGACGATTTCCTTCCTAGATTTTCCGATATATATAAAATACACACGCGTGCGCGTATATATATGTAACGCGGAAGAACCGAGCGGAGACGCGACGCGCTTAGACCCGCGCGCTCGCTTTGAAGCGGGGAAATGGGCGGCGGGCGAGGGGTCGAAAGGGACCCGAGGGTTGGGAAAGCGAAAGGGGTAGAGTAGCTGAGGTGGCGGGCTCTACAGAGATGGATATAGACGGATAGATGCGGATAGAGAGAGGTCGCGCGAGGCTTGAATGGGGCTAGTTTGAGATAGTTAGCGGGCCTTCAGGGGCACAATCGGCCGCGATTGGCGGGCCTACAATCACACGTCGCATTATATGTCCATCAGCGCGGCGGATCTCTCGCAAATACGTTATAGCGCGAGCGAGCGGACGAGCGCGCACACCAACGAGCTCGCCGCAAAAATGCTGCGGCGCAGCTTCATTTCGGCACGCTTTTTCTTCCTAATGTTTCACGCAGTCTTATCTATTTTATTTATATTTTAAATGCTAAATGCGCTTTATTCCGATTATATCAGATGTCAACGCATAAGACAGCTCGCTGCGCAAATTGAATATTAGAAGGAAAAAGGAAAATAATTTTTCTATATTCGCGAGAATATCACACGTGCACAGACGCGCTCGTGTCGTAGGATATTCTACAATATATTAATAACTTTCTTGGTCGTTCGTCTGTAAAATTTGTTTTACGTGGCCGTGACTGTTGTCGCGATACTTGTGATTCGGGGGAGAAAGTCGACTAATAAATTCTTAATACACGGCAATTCGGCCTTTTCGAGCGCGCCGATGACTCCCCGTTCGTCCGTCCGTCCGAGGAAAATGTTCCGCTCGAGAGGCAGACACGGGACACATTCATCCGGGGGCGAGTTGTCCCGTATGCAAATTCGTTTTATTGTCGCGGCACAGAGAGCGAGTCGAGCAGACGTGGACCCATGTAAACGGTCATCTTCGCTACCCACCTTAATTTCATTCATGCCCCGCTGCCCTCCGGCCTTCCTTCCCTCTCACTCTCTCTCTCTCTTTCTCTGCCTCTCTCTCTCTCTCTCTACCCCACTTTAATTACTGCCAATTGCCCTTGCCGCACGCGAATTATGTCATTTCCACATGAGCAGCACTTTAGTGAAATTTTCGCTAGGTAGTCAGAAATGAGACGACTGTGCAGTCTCGTTTTCCTCCCCCAATCCCCGCGCGTCCTGGTATAGCGTAATAAGGGAATAATTAATTAATTGCACTCCCCCGCGTTTCGTTTTTGCGCTTCGACCCTCGACGGAATAAAATTTACGTGCGTCCCGCGTATTAATTAAGTGCCGTATCTTTTTCTCTTTTTTTTTTTTTTTTTTTCACGGTAGAGCGTAACATGCGACTGCAACGATTGTTTGAAAATAATCTGAGAAGATTAATCAGATAAAAAACGCATTACACTAGCTTGCGATCAATGTTCCGCGGGATTGTAAAATATTTTTGGTCGGCTGAAAACCCACCGAGAAAATATCCCTATGCAAAGCCGTTTGTCCTTTTGATTCAATTATCCCTTGTTACAATCGTATCTGCGGAAGCATCCCTCTCTTCTACCCGAGTTATTAGGCGGCGGGAGCAAGAGTGAATTCCCAGCGAGCGGTCAGCGGCGACATTCCGGCGTTGCTGGCAGCTCGAATGAAAATTTCACAGTCTCCCGATTCCCTCCAATTCGAAGGATCCCGGAGATCCTTCGGCCGCTTCGACTTCCATCCCTCTTTCTTTCTCTCTCTCTCTCTCTCTCGTTATATGGATCGCCGCGTACGTCGATGCGATAAAAGGGGGCGGAAAAATAAAGCCCCGGGTCGAGAGAGACTGGAACGGTTTCGAAAGTGAATCACGGATTAATCTCGCGGAAAATCAGGTCAACGCGATCACTTTGTGCACTTGTTACCCGAGTTAGATCAGTCGCCGAAAGGAAGCTAAAAAGGATCGAACGTTCGTTCGTTCGTTCGGGCATCTTACTCGATAGCTCTGGCAATTTTAAAAAATCGTCACGCATCGTTGCTTCATAATTAATTCGCTTATCTCATTGTTTCTCGTCTCTATTAGTTTAATGCATCACGTATATATATTTTTGTTTTCTACATGGCGTCTACCGGTTATGCTTAGCTGTGAAAAAGATTCTCTAATGACAACGTGTGTGTCCGTTAGTTTTTTTTTTTTTTCCAACGTCCCGACGACATGTTTCGCTTAATTGCGCGGGTAGTTGTAGCACATCGTGTAGCACATTAGCGGATACGAAGGCACTGCGTTATCACACCTGGACGATTTTTCTTCATTAGTGGCATTATTTCCGCACGAGTGTGTCGCCGCTCTGACCACGCGAGTCACGTGAAACTGATTTGTAGCTAGAGCCAGGTTTATAGAAAAAACACAACAGGAGAGCTTCCCACTGTGGCGAGAGAATGTAAAATAGTCGAGACAACCTTGACAGCCTCGATAGTGCCGAGTTATTAGCTGTTGAACAAAAATTACTTTGCTAATTGTAAGCGGAAAATACTGAAAGTACAAAATTAAATTATACAATTTATCATTACAATGCGTTAAAATTTCTTATATTATAAAATATATAATTTAATTATTTTTCTAGATGAAACACATTCTTTAGACTTCTTTGTGGAAAGAGAAATAGAACTCGCGCGACACGGTTACCTTTTTATCTCATTCTCTCCGCACATATTATATTATCAGGGCTCTTTTAAAACGCAATCATCTTATACAGGGTGTCTCATCTTAATCTTGTTCGCGTAAATATTTTCGAAACTAACGGTTATTGGAAAAGATCTGTGTAAAGCGATTGTCGTTCGATCGAGTTAGTCCGGAATATTTGCGCGCGTGTCGTTTAAACGCGGCAGCGCGATAAAGGATTTCCGAAGGTAGTTTAATTTGCATCAGGCCGGGCGGTTGTATTAAAGCGACTCGGATAAGAAAGGATTTCGAGGGACGCCATTAATTCTCGCGGAGAATCCGCCTCTCGCTCTTCTTTCCCGACGCGACGGCAGTTTAGTCGTCACTTAGCTAGTTACTCGCTTACTTAGTCCACTTATTTTAATCGGGCGCTCGTCCGCGCGCCGCCTCAACCCGATTCTCCGCTTGTTTTTACGCCTTATCCCTTAAGGCTAATTCATTAATTAATTCCGTTAGTACCCTACCCTGCTACCCTTCGCCTCCCCCTCCCCCCGTGCTCCACTCTGTCCCACCCCGTTTCTCTCCCTCCCCCGTTGATGCAACTCCAACGAACCTCTTGAAGCACGGGTGGGTGCTCACTAATTAAAGTAATTACTAAATAAATTGCAATTACACTAATGGATCGAGCACGACGACGGATACACTCGTCAGGAACTGTCGCCGAACTTTTCCCCGGTTATGTTGCCGATTACGAGATACCTGTCGGTATTCCGTTTAGATGTGGTCGTCGTTGTCATCGTCGTCATAATCGTCGTCGTCGTCGTGACCCTTTCAGGCCAAGTATATTACGAATTATATTATTTTATCGGCGTCAGTAGTCTTTACTAACACTTGCCGTGGATTGTCCCCCAAGGGTTCCTTCGTGAAACTGTTACGACGGACTATTATCGTTTATATATTAATTAGATTCTTTCACAAGTTAAGATCTTTTCAATCCGCTGTGATGTATCACGTCGGATTACAAAATACCTTGTCATTATTATGATACAGAAAGCGACGCAATATGAAATAATAAAGATTAGTAATATAAAATATTTGGAAATTTCGCGCTGCGAGTTTGATGTCGTACTCGGGACATGAACACGGGCCGGCAAACATAGATAGTGCGTCAGCGTGTTAATGGAGCTATCAGTCAACATACACGGTTGAGTGACGTCTCAATCAAACGCGTATTCTGACGACTCGCGTTACACCGACCATTCCGATTTCTCGCGTTTGATCTGCATCGTTTCTCGAGGTTGAGACAAAAC